AACGTGATTCATAAGATCCATGAAAGCTGCTGGGGCATTTGTTAGCCCAAAAGACATCACCGAAAATTCTAAATGCCCATACCGGGTTCTAAAAGCTATTTTCGGAACATCCTGCTCCCTGATCTTCAATTGGTGATACCCGAATCGTAAATCAATTTTGGAGAAGTACTTAGCACCTTGCAATTGGTCAAATAAGTCATCTATCCTTGGCAGTGGGTACTTATTCTTGATTGTGACCTTGTTAAGCTGCCAATAATCAATACACATTCTCAGTGACATATCTTTCTTCCTTACGAAATAGACTGGTGCGCCCCAAGGCAACACACTCGGCCGGATAAAACCCCTTTCTAACATATCTCTCAATTGTTCCTTTAGCTCTTTCAATTCTGTCGGTGCCATTCTGTAGGGTGGAACAGATATAGGATGCGTGTCTGGCGTCACATCAAACCCAAAATCAATCTCCCTGTCTAGTGGGATCCCAGGGAGTTCATCCAGAAAGACTCTCGGAAATTCATTCACAACAGGCACGGACTCAAGCGTAGGTGCCTCAGCATCGGTGTCCGTAACCTGGACCAAATGGTAAATACACCCCTTTTTAATCATTTTCGTGGCCTTAAGGTAAGAAATAAACCTACCATTCGGCACTACATCATCACCCTTCCACTCAATAACTGGCTCATTTGGAAATTCGAACCTAATAGTTATGGTTCGACAATCAAGCGTGGCAAAACATGAATAAAGCCAATCCATCCCCATTATCACATTAAAATCGACCATTTTCAATTCAATAAGATCGGCCACGGTGTCAGGACCACACAACGTGATAACACAATCCCTATAAACTTGCGCGGCCAAAATAGACTCACCAACCGGAGTAGATACAGAGAACGGCTCATGAAGCTATCCCGGTTCTATACCAAATTCCATGGCAACATAAGGAGTGACATCTGACAAAGTGGAACCAGGATTAATAAGAGCATATACATCGTGGGAATGGACAGATAATATACCTGTGACAATATCTGGAGAATTCTCTGATTCCAGACTCCTTCGCATAGCATAAAATCTACTGGGTCCTCCCGAATTTTTGTGCACCACCCCTAGCTGCACCATGCCCTGTGGGTGCTGGGGTGCCTCGAGCTGGAGGTGTTGTGGATGAAGTAGCTGCAAAATTAGCTGGTTGCGCCACACCTCTGCCCATGTTTTGGCGGGACGAGCGGCAATTTCTCTGAATGTGACCCCTCACACCACACCCATAGCATATAGGTAGGTCCATAAAGCAGGACCCAAAGTGCATCCTCCCACACTTAGGGCATGGGAGCCTCCTATCACGCCCCAACCTCGGGAAGCACGACCGGCACTCAACCGAGTGAACCCGGCCAAGCAAGCCTGTTAGATACTTTCTACCCAATTAACCAATGATTAAGAAAAGACATGATTTCATTAATTATACAGTAGGAATCTCATTCATACAATCCTGAATGAAATTCTGGAAGTGGGAACTATGGAATACGGCCAAGTGGAAAAATTAACTGCCTTACTCTGCGGCCATTATGCGGTCCGTAGAGTGATTCTGCGGTCGCATAATGGACCGCAGATACGCATTTCACTACCAAACATTTTCCTTTACTATCCAGTGCATTGTTCAACCCAAAAGGTTTGAACAGCGATGAGCAAGCTCGCCGCAAAGAATTTCTATAATACGCAACACGTAAAACCAATTCGGCACTAAGAAACATTATTTTTTCTTTTGCAAAATTTTACGGGGCCTTACATTCTCCCCCATTAGGATCATTCGTCCTTGAATGAGGGTAAACAAATCTGTTATTAGCATCTTATGCAACTCGGTTTTCATACCACACACCAACAGTCCCAAATTTGACTAACTCCCTAAATTTCCAAAACTTTTGCCAGAGTTTCCCCTGTAACTGGGCCTATCCACTTGTCAAAGAGCCCCAAAAACACATCTTACTAACATATACAGAATCCAATGATGTAACATAACTCATAACAACACCAACAATGGCCTCATATAAACAACATATAATCAAAAAGGAACACCTTTACATTAACTGAATAAATGATACAAAATTCATAGATGACAAGTTCGTAAAAGGATTACACAGCTATTCAAATAAGCAAGGATACTTCTTCTTCACTTCTTTCTCGGCCTCCCACGTGGCCTCTTCAACTGGTTGGTTTTGCCATAATACTTTCACGAAGGCAATTTCTTTATTCCTCAACTTTCGGACTTGTCTATCAAGAATGGCAACTGGAATCTTTTCATATGACAATTCTTCATTAACCTCAATGGTCTCAACCGACATAATAGCTGACGGATCTCCAACTACCTTTTTCAACATAGACACATGGTATACCGGGTGCACTAATGACATCTCGGGTGGTAGCTCAAGTTTGTACGCCACCAGACCAATCCTCTGGATGATTTTGTATGGCCCGACATACCTCGGACTTAGTTTCCCCTTTTTCCCAAACCGCATAATACCCTTCATGGGGGAAACCTTCAAGAATACCCAATAATCTTCTTTGAACTCTAAGTCTCTGCGACGAACATCCGAATAGGATTTTATGACAACTCTGAGCAGTTTTCAACCGCTCCTTTATGATCTTAACTTTTTCCATAACCTGATATACAAGGTCTGGCCCTATCAACTCTGCTTCCCCAATCTTGAATCACCCAATGGGAGATCTACATCTCCTACCATATAATACCTCAAATGGTTCCATCTGGATACTTGCATGAAAGCTGTTGTTATAAGCAAACTCTATGGCCAGATTGCGAGGTAATCCTATCACAAAGTCCATATTAATCATTTTTCACTTCCACATTGGAAATTTTATGTTTTGTGCCAACCCACCAGGCCGGTGATGTTCGGCCTTCACTTGCTGACAATTTGGACACCTTGCCACAAATTCTGCCACATTCCTTTTCATGTCATTCCATCAATAGACTTCCTTGAAATAGTGATACATCTTCGTAAAACCTTGATTCACGAAATACCTAGAAGCGTGAGCTTCGGTCATGATTCTTTCCCAGAGACCATCTACATTCGGAATACATAGCCACCCTTGGTACCTTAGTGTACCATCATCCACGCTAAGAGCAAAAGCCGTAGTTTTATGCTTTTGAATCCCCTCCTTCAATTGCACCAAAAATGGATCGTTGTATTGCTTCTCTTTGGCTTCCACGACAAGCGATGATTCAGCCCTATTTTGCACAATTACCCCTCCTTCATTAGAGTCCGTAAGACGAACTTCCAAACTAGCCAATAGATAGACTTCCTTGGCCAATGGCCTTTGATATACCTCCAAGTGTGCTAAACTACCCATAGATTTCCGGCTCAAAGCATCTACCACAATATTGGATTTCCCCGGGTGATATAGAATATCGATGTCGTAATCCTTGAGTAACTCAAGCCATCTTCTCTTCCTCAGATTCAGCTCCTTTTGTTAGAAAATATATTGAAGACTCTTGTGGTCCGTGAATACATCCACATGGACCCCATACAAATAGTGACGCCAAATTTTCAATGCAAAAACCACCGCCGCAAGTTCTAAGTCGTGTTGGATAATTCTTTTCATGATTCTTGAGTTGCCTAGAAGCACATGCTATTACTTTGCCGTGTTGCATTAACACACACCCAAGCCCAATTCTTGAAGTATAACCATATATCACAAATTCATATGTACCCTCTGGCAAGGTCAACACCAGCGTTGTAGTCAATCTCGATTTCAACTCCTGGAAGCTCCTTTCACAAGCATCGGGCCATTGGAACTTAACTGCTTTCTCAGTCAATTTAGTCAACGGAGAGGCAAGAGTAGAGAACCCCTCCACAAACTTCCTGTAATACCCTGCTAAGCCCAAGAAACTATGAATTTCGGTGGGCGTTGTAGGTCTAGGCCAATTCTTTACTGCTGAAATCTTTTGAGGATCAACCTTGATTCCTTCTCTTGAGACAACATGACCCAAGAATGTGACGGATTCGAGCCAAAATTTACACTTTGAAAATTTTGCATACAATTGGTGCTGATGAAGAGTCTACAACACTGCCCTGAGATGATCGGCATGGTCCTCCCGACCTCGTGAATACACAAGAATATCGTCAATGAACACTATCACAAAGGAGTCGAGAAAAGGCTTGAAAACCCGATTCAAAAGATCCATAAAAGTTGCCGTGGCATTTGTTAGCCCAAAAGACATTACCAGAATTTCAAAGTGCCCATATAGGGTTTTGAAAGCTGTTTTCGGAATATCCTGCTCCCTGATCTTCAATTGGTGATACCCGAATCGTAAATCAATTTTGGAGAAGTATCTAGCACCCTATAACTAATCAAACAAATCATCTATTCTTGGTAGTGGGTATTTGTTTTTGATTGTGACTTTGTTGAACTGCCGGTAGTCAATACACATCCTCAGTGATCCATCTTTCTTCCTCACAAAGAGAACCAATGTTGCCCACGGCGACACACTCAGTTGGATGAAACCCTTCTCTAACAAATCCTTCAATTGTTCCTTTGGTTCCTTCAATTCTATTGGTGCCATTCTGTAGGGCGAAATAGATATAGATTGCGTGCCTGGAATCACATCAATTCCAAAATCAATCTCCCTGTCTGGCGGAATCCCAGGGAGCTCATAAGGAAAGACCTCTAGAAATTCATTCACATCTGGCACAGATTCGAGTGTAGGTGCTTCAGCAGTGGTGTCCGTAACTCAGACCAAATGGTAAATACACCCCTTGTTGATCGTCTTTGTGGCCTTAAGGTAAGAAATAAATCTACCTTTTGGCATTACATTACTCCCCTTCCATTCAACAATTGGCTCATTAGGAAATTCAACCCTCACAGTTCTAGTTCGGCAGTCGAGCTTAGGAAAACATGAATAAAGCCAATCCATTCCCATAATTACATCAAAATCGACCATCCCCAATTCAAGGAGATTGGCCACGATGTCTCGACCACACACCATGACAACACAACCCCTATAAACTCGGGCGGCCGCAATGTTCTTGTTCTATCCCAAATTCCGTAGTAACATAAGGGGTAACACAGGACAAGGTGGAACCCAGATCAATCAGAGCATATACATGATGAGTTTGGACAGTCAATATACCTGTGACAACATCTGGAGAAGCCTCTGCATTCTAGCGACCACTCATAGCATAGAATCGACTGGGTCCTCCTGAACTCTGCGCACCACCCCTAGCTGCACCACGCCCTGCTGGTGCAGGAGGGCCTCGAGCAGGAGGGGCTGCTGAAGATGTACCAGCTGCAGGACTGGATGGATCTGCTATGCCCCTGCCAGCACTCCCTCTGAATATGACCCCTCAATACGCACCTATAACATATAGGTAAGTCCATGTTGGAAATCCACGAGTGCCTCTTCCCACACCTGGGGCATAGGGGCCTCCGCTGTTGTGGGAATCTCCCTCCTGATTGGCCCTGATTATAGGGTCCCTTGCTACCCTGATTGGGCCTGAAGTGACCCTTCTGCTGCTGACTGTGCCCCGTTGGCGGTGCAGTGGCTGAAGACTGAGCATGAGACTGGGTTGGCCCTGATGACCCTCCCCTAAAAGCTGATCTCCCCCCCACCAAATGACTCCCCAAAGTTGCCCGCGGACCGGGCCTTGCTAGTACCCTCTCGCTCCCTATTTTACCATAGTTCATGTCTGAATTCAAGGCAGCTATAATAGCCTCATTGATAACCAAGGGGCTAAGGCCCTGCACAAACCGGCGCACTCTAGCCTCCATAGTAGGCAACATGTGAATAGAATACTTTGACAGGCATGTGAACTCCATGTGATACTCCCACACATTCCTACTCCCTTGCTTATGATTCTCAAACTCTGCGGCACGGGTTTACCTAGTCTCGACAGGCAAGAAATGGTCTATAAAGGCACCAGCGAACTCATTTCATCTCGCTGGAGGGCTCCGCTCCTCCCGAGAGTCCTCCCACAGCTCAAAGCAAGAATATGCCACCCCTTTCAGGCGGTAGGCAGCCAACTCCACTCCCTCCGTCTCAGTAGCCCACATAACCCGGAGAGTCTTATGCATCTCATCAATGAAGTCATGTGGGTCCTCCTCAGAATTAGCACCCGTGAACACCGGAGGATCCAACTGACGAAACCTGTTCACCTTGGAACTGCTAGAATCCCCTTGTTGGCTAGAGGATGTGGGTGCAACATTCGACCTTTGGGCCTGAGAAGCCACTATCTGAGCCAGCATCTGAATAGATCCCCTAAGATCCCTATCAGAAATACCAGAGCCGTAAGCTGGGGCTTGAGGTGGAATCGGAATGCCAGGTGGAGGAACCATCGCACCCTTAGTAGGTGTAGGAACTGGTGTGACCTGGGCTGGGGTAGTAGAATCAGAAAGTGTAGTAGTCGGGGGATTATCCTCACCCCTCGGGTGTTCACCCGCATCATCAAACAAAGGGTCCACTGCCATTCCTAAGGCAGCATTGCTCCTTGGCCAGTTCTTGATCTCTTCTTATGTGCCATATACTGAAAGTTAAAGGAATGACCGAGTTAGAAGAGGAACAATTGCACAATTAGTTTCATCGCACGATTCAGAATATCAAATAAGGGTATTGTTCCTAAATGTCCAAGTAGCCTCCAACTTATAGATGTGGTCGACAACACACCAATAAGAAGGACTCTACCAGACACGGCTCCGAGACATCCTAGGACACTTTAAAACCTTAGGCTCTGATACCAAGTTTGTCACACCCCAACCTCGGGAAGTGCGACCGGCGCTCAACCAAGTGAACCCGGCCGAGCAAGAATGTTAGATACTTTATACCCAATTAACCCATGATCAAGAAAAGACATGATTTCATTAACTATACAGTAGGAATCTCATTCATACAATCCTGAATTGTATCATTAGCCATTGCGCCTTTAAATCTCAAAATTCATATTTCTTATAGTTCAAGGGGAACAAGTGATCATCCACAACATAACTTGTTTAACATTCCCAATAACCATATACAACCCACATAGTGTCTACAGATCCTCTAGAGACACAAAGGAGAGTAAAGATGGTGCCGACAATAAGGCCCCGGCTATACCTCAAAAAGTGACCATAATATAAACAAAAGGTACAATACTCACCCTGGAATGAAATGGGGCTCACCGAGTCCATTGAGAAGAGGATGCAGTACTATCTGAGATCCGCACTGTCTGTTATGTAACCACCTGCATCCATTTAAAGATGCAGCGCCCCCGGCAAAAAGGACATTTGTACCGTCGAATAGTACTAGTATGTATAGATAAACACCAACTCAATATAATGAATAATAATACAAGTGGAACAGTAAAGAATTCAATAAGGGCTTCAAATAATAGTAAAACAACAAGTTAAGGATCATATACATTTTCAAGACAATTTCTATATTACTAAGTTGGCTGACCTTTAGTACCGATGTTCCACAGTTCACAATACCTCCGTATTCTTACACGGAGTCCGATATCGGCCCGATCGTCTAGGCCTCCTCATCTGAGACATTACCACAATTTCATTATAACTTTTCAGCACAGTACCACCATGTGTGGGGCATGACATCCGATCACGGCCCGATCAGCTAGACCATCTCATTTGAGACATTACCACAACTTCATTCACAATACCACCGTGTTCTTACACGGAGTCTGATCTCGGCTTGATCGGCTAGACAATCTCATTTGAGACATTACCACAATTTCATCAGTCAATCATCTCACATCGTACTTCTTAACAATTACAAAGTCATTCTTGGCACTTGGCCGTATTCCATAGTTCCAGACCCATTTTCCACATTCAATATCAATATCAACAACAATAAGGCTTCCCATTCAAGACATTAAATTCACATATGAGCAATTTGGGAATCTTAGGCACATAGAGGCTTTTCATACAATTTGGCATAACAACCTTTATTTCAATCTTGACATGAAGTCTTAATATTTCTACCACATATACCACATTTTTGAACATATCCTCAATAACAAGATAACATGATGAATCATTTAGAATAAATATTGAACTTACATCCTTCAACACAAACACGTTTGAAATCGCCAATTCTATAATGATCAAGGACTTACTCCAATTACATGATCACCGTGGGGTCCGATTCTAAGAAGAAGGGGGTTTAGCCAACATATCTCAATTGAGCTCCTTAAAACTCTAAGATGTTCCGGAATATTAGCCACTTCAATCTATTTTAGCAATATAACAAAAATTGAACCAAAATTAGGAAGGTGAACATGGTTTTAGCTCACTTGAGTATATTATCAAACACTAGATGTGCATCAATGCCTTAGGGCCCTTTTTGTGGAGGATTCCATCCTTCCCCAACCCATTCTCTATCATGTTTAGCTCACAATCATCCCACATACTACAAGTATACATGCATGCAAGGTCAGCATTCCCATCCCCATGAATTACCTTACTAATGGCCCATTCTAGTTACATTTTGAAATTAAGAGTTTGGGTGAAAGAATCATACCTCTTAGGAAGAAGACCCAGTGTCTCTCTTGATAATCTTCAAGACTTTGAGTGAGAATTGAAGAGCAATGTGATGAAGATAACTTCTCCCTCTAGGACCCTCTCTCTCACTCTAAAACTATTAGAAAATATGATCAAAATGGTCCATGGGGTGTATTTTAATGAAATAGGGTCGGGTTTAAAAACCCCAAAAATGAAGCTCCAGAACAAAGTCTGTGATCGCATAACCGATATGTGGACCGCATATCGGTCGCATAATCGGTGATCAAAATAGCCAAAAAACACTGTACATGTCTGCGGTCACTATGCGGCCCGCAGACATGTTCTACGGTCACATAATGAACTGCCGAACAGTTATGCGGTCGCATAGTCGACCGCAAAATTTCATCCAAACTGGCTCAATTAACTGCCTCACTCTGCGGCCATTATGCGGTCCGCAGAGTGATTCTACGGTCGCATAATGGACCGCAGATAAGCATTTCACTGCCAAACATTTTCCTTTACTATCCAGTTCATTGTTCAACCCAAAAAGTCTGAACCGTGGCTCGCAAGCTCGCCGCGAAGAATTTCTATATTACGCAACACGTAAAACTAATTCGGCACTACGAAACATTATTTTTTTCCTTTTGCAAAATTTTACGGGGCCTTACACCTCTGCTACTGAAACCTTTTGTCGGGACTACCCTGCTGGTGGGGTCCCCGGTTGCCCTGACTAGGTCCGGATGACTGTGCACCCATTGAAGACTGGGCGAATGATTGGGATGGTCTTGATGACCCTCCCCTGAATGCCGACCTACCACCAACCCCACCGGAAGAACCACAAAAGTCGCCCGCGAACCGGGCCTTGCTGCTACTCTGACGCTCCATTCTATTCTTCATATTGCGGGTCTCTGTGTCTTGAAGAAATGCCACCATAATACCATAGTTCATATCAGAATTCAAGGCAGTTGCAGAGGCCTCCCCACGGGATTGCTCCCAGGCTGTAGGAGGCCAACTCCACTCCCTCCGTCTCTGTAGCATGCATAACCCGAAGAGTCTTGTATATCTCATCAATGAAGTTTTGGGGGTCCTCATCGGGATCAGTACCCGTAAACACTGGAGGATCTAACTGAAGAAACTTGTTCACCCTGGAACTAGCAGATACCCCTGGATGACTGGAAGAAGTAGGCCCAACACTCGATCTCTAGGCATGAGAAGCTACTATATGTGCCAACATTTGTATGGCTCCCCTAAGATCAACATCAGACACACCAGAATCGGAAGCTGGAGTTGGAGGTGGAACTGAAATATTAGTTGGAGGAACCATTGCACCTTCTGTAGGTGTAGGGACAAGTGCGATCTGATCAGTTGTGGTAGATTCAGGCAGTGTGGTAACTGGGGGAATATCCTCACCCCTCGGGTGCTCACCCGCATCATCTTTTATATGATCAACTGCCACTCCTGGGGTGATATTGGCTCTTTGGCTAGTTCTTGCCTTCTTCTTAGGTGCCATGAACTGAAAATTAGAGCAACGCAAGAGTTATAGGAGGAAAAATCTTAAAACCAGCTTTATCGCACGATCAAGAACATGAAAGAAGGGTATTATTCCTAAATGCCCATGTAGCATCCTAATTATAGATGTGGTCGATAACACACCGATAATAAGGACTCTAATAGACACGGCTCCGAGATATCCTAGGACACTTTAAAACCTTAAGCTCTAATACCAAGTTTATCATGCCCCAAAACCGGGGAGCGCGACCGGCGCTCAACCGAGTGAACCCGACCAAGCAAGACTAGTAGATTTCCTTCTACCCAACTCATTCATGAATAAAAGGAATATATGTTTTTCTTATTCAAACAATAAAGTGATCATGTCTGTAATACCAATTTCTTACCATTAGTTACTTCATTTTAAGGTTTCATTTTCACACACATTTTTCATAATCTGAATTGGAAATAGTAATTCAAAAACAACATAATGAGTTTGACTTCCCCAGCACCAATATACAACCCACACTATGTCTACGGAGCGTCTATAGATAAAGAAGAGTACAATGATAATGTCGGCAACAAGGCCCCGACTGTACCTCAAACAGAATACACAAAGAACAAAAGATTCATGACCCCGGGATGAAGTGGGGATCACCAAGTCAGGTGGGAAGAAGGTGTACTACTATCACTAATCAATATCTCCTACTGTGGAACCACCTGCATCCATTTAAAGATATAGCGCCCCCGAAAAAAGGGGCGTTAGTACCGTTGAATAGTACTAGTATGAAAACCAAACACCAATTTAAGAATTCGAAAATACAATACGAATATGATGAATTAGGGCGGCAATAGAATAATATAGATAACCATTTAAACCAGAGAAAGCTTATTAGGAGCTATAAATAACATTTATAGTATCTTAGACGAGATCCTCTGTAACCATATTTACACAAAGCGGCCCTGCTGCCTCACCCAATGTATGTAGGTGGAGGTGTAAGCATAATACCACAACTCTACTCAAGCGGCCCTGCTGCCTCACACCAATGTATGCGGGTGGAGGTATAACCACAATACCAAGAACCTACACAAAGCGGCTATGCCACCTCACCCCCAATGTATGCGGGTGGAAATGCATCAACGATACCAATACCTACACAAAGCGGCTATGCTGCCTCACCCCAACTTTGCATGAAATTATAACATGTAGATACACAATCCATAGTTTGGAATACCTCCTCAATTTATACTACAATATGATAAGAGCATTTGAAACACGAATTGAACATATATCTTTATCACAAAAATTATCGGAATACTCGATTTGTTATCAACATCTTGGAACATACAAGGATAATGGAGATTCCAATTCTTAAAGACTAGTTTTGCCAACATGCTCATGGTTCTAGCTCATTTGAGCATTTTATCAAACACTAGGTGCGCATTAAGGTTTCAAGGTCCTTTTATGGAGGATTCCATCATCCCACAAC